TACCCGACCGGGTATATAGGATACCCGATCGGGTATCTTAGGAAATTTCCCGGAAAGCCACATTTCTGGACATACCCGGTCGGGTATGTCGGTTTACCCGATCGGGTATGTGACAAATCTTTACGAAAATTTGCTCCCACGATCCTTTGTTCCCGGATTTGATTTGGACAACCGAATCAAGCAAATACCCGATCGGGTATTGCCTATACCCGACCGGGTATACGAGTATTTTTTCCAAATCAAAATCTTTCATGTCTCTTTGCACTTTCCTTGATCTTTTGAGGTCCCATCTTGATCCCTTGGATGAGTTTTGACCTGTTTAGCTCAGAATAGTCCTAATCTAAACAAATTACAAATAATTATGAAAATAAAGTATTACACAAAAAATGTGTAATTTCCACAACTAGAACTAATAAAAACTAGTTAAAAATACAAACATACATGATAGGAAATTCACACTATCAGTGAAGGTGATGGGTTCCTCCCTCAATCGCTTTACCGGGGGCATATGAGTGACTTCCCCTACGTAAAGCGATTGAGCCCACTTCTTTCGCTGGCTGGTGGAATCACCCCCTGTGTTGCCACCGGTGATCATGACGATGTGGCGTTTCTTCTCCTGGTAGTGGGGGTATTCCTCCTCCTCTTCTTCCAAGTTTCCGATCTCCCTCTTCTTGCCGAGGGGGATGGTGTTTGGATTCACCCAGGCATTTACCTTCGTATGGTGCCCTCGGGGAGGTCCCTGATGAGAAGGTCCCTCCTGCCGAGGATGAGAAGGTCCCTCCTGCCGAGGGCTCTGGACAAACTGGGACAGGTGCCCCGCCTGTATTAATCTCTCGATGGCCGTCTTCAGCTGATGGCAGTCATCGGTCCTGTGCCCCTGGTGCCGATGGAAGCGACAGTAGGGGAACTGAGGGTTGATAGCGTGCACCTCCGGGGGTGCGCGAGAGTCGCGCTCAACGAGGCCCCTCTCCTCGGCAAAATCGAGGATGATGCTGACGGGGTGCGTCAATGGTGTCCGAGGGCGGTCCAGGAGAATGGGCTGGGCCCAAGTCTTAGGGTTGCTCTTATAACCTCCCCCGGGCTTGGCTTGGCCTTGCCGAGGGCGGTCATCAGAGGGTCCCGAAGCCTTGGGGTGATTTGGAGGAGCTCCCGGCCCTCGGTTGTGCTTGTTGTCAGCCCTCGGGGGCTGCTGGTCCGGATGCTGGTGGTATTTCTCCACCTCCTCGGCCTCAGCATATCGGTCCCCCCGTTGCAAAGCCCTTATGTAGTCACGGGGGGTTCAATGATGAGGCTCCTTGAAAAGTTACCGGTGCGGAGGACGGTTTGTAGGAGGGCCAGGAGGGTCCCGTCATCAGCACCGTCGACCTTGTCGGCCTCCGTCCTCCAGCGCTCCAGGAAATCCCGAAGGGTCTCATCCTTCTTCTGGCGTATTGTTAGGAGGTGGGAGAAGTGCTTCCTTGTGCGACGCCTCCCGGCGAACTGTGTCAAGAATCGTTGGGCGAGTTCTTGCCACGAATCAATGCAGCCCTCGGGCAGCCTGTTGAACCGTTCGTATGCCGGTCCCTCTAAGGTGGAGAGGAACCATCGACACAAATATTCGTCTGATGCCCCCACCATCATCATGTTGTTCTGGTATTTGCTGTAGTGTTCCTGGGGGTCCGTTTTCCCGCTGTAGGGCTGTATGTGTTGCCCTCGGTATTTCTCCGGGATCCGGGCCGCCAATACCCTTGGGGTAAATGGGGTCCGAGTCCGGAGCTGGATGACGGGTTCCCCGGAGCCCTCGGCCACTCTCTTCTGTAACTCCTCCATTTTGGCCATCATGGCCTCGTATTTGAGATCTGAATGAGGGGTGGAGGTGGTGGCGTGAGCTTTGTTGGACTCCATCTCGTCGAGCCGGCGTTGGAGGGCCGCAATAATCTCGTCCCGGGGATCCCTCGGGAGGGTCTCCACCCCCTGCGAACGAACCCGGGCCGAGTGGGCCTGGTTGATTTGGTGCCGGGCATCATCGGCATGAAGGGGTGCCTTGCCTTTGTCCCGAGGGGGACGCTCCTCGCCTGCCCTCGAAACAGATCCCCCGCTTTCCTGGGGCCTTTGGAGTGCTTTCCCCCCGAGGCGGTCTGGGACCCCTCGGCGGTCTGGCCCTCCTTCGAGCCGGTTGAGGGCGGAAGTTCGGGGCCTTTCCCTGTTGTCATTATGGCGGTCCCGGGACTGAACTTCCTGGGAGGACGTTTCTTGGGCTACCACCCCTTCATCGTTTCTCACCCGAGGGGTGGGATTTCCGAAGGGGTGTGGCAGAGGGGGAAGTATGATATTTTCCCCGATCTGAGGGTGAGCTGGAGCCAGGGTGCCGAAGGCACCCGGGTTCTGAGTGAGCGTTTGGATGAAGGCGGAGAGCGCCAATTGTACGTCGATGGTGAGAACCGGAGGGCTGACTTGGTCATCGCTCCGGTTTTTCTTCTTGGCCTCGATGCCGAGGCGGGCATCGGGGGCATTTTGTTGGATCTGAAGGCGTAGGTCGACAGCCGCCTGTTCCAGCCCAGCGATGACACCGCCCTCGGGAGCCCTGTGAGAGGCTTCGGGGGCGTTGAGGTCGCCGAGGGCCAGGTTCTTGTCTTCTACGTTCTTTGAGTTGGCACGTGTTGTCCTCACCATTTTGATAGAGGGCTAGTGTTTTGTGTTTGGTCGAGGGGGAGGGTTTCTTACTCGATTGTTCAACCTCTCAACGAGAGCACCAAATGATGGATAGTCTACCCGGGGGTATATATCCGAAGGGTTATTACGGGGAATAACTTAGAGAGAAGTTAGAGCAAGTAAGTAAAAGTAGAGAGAGAAAATGTATTATAAATGCGGAGTGTTTTCAGCGTGGTTACAAATGGGGAAATGGGGTGCTATTTATAGCAGCAATAAATGCCGGGCTGGGACACGTGTCAAGCGCTCATTGGCCGAGGGGTCACCTCAACTGGCTGGTGCTGGCAGCCGCATGTGGCCGCATTTAATGCGGCTGTTGGATGGGACGTCTGTGCAGAGTACGGTGATCTGTACGCATGTGAGGCGGATATCTTGTCGAGTGAGATGCCTTCGGCTATAGAGCAGTAGCTGAGGGCTCTTCCTCCCGATGGCACCCCTGGTGCCGAGGGCTCACAGTACCGAGGGCTGCTGTTTTCGCCGTTTTCTCCCAGTTTCTTATTTTGCTTGAGAAACCCGCTCTGTGATAATTTGGAGCCTTCGGCCAGGGGGCCGAAGGCACCCCTGTGCGTTGTGCGGACTGCTTGGTACTCTGGGCGCTGTGATTTGGGCCTGTTGGGCCTGTTGGGCCTTTGATTGAGTAGTAGGAGTCTGTGGGCCGGGGGTTCCCGGGCCATATACTCCATCAGTATGCTTTTAAGATGGAGCACACACAGTCTTATGGGATGTCCGATATGTATGGAGAAATCAGGTGCCAGTTGGCTCAAATTCATTGGGAAACCAAGTTACTTTGATTGTCACCGCAAATTCCTCCTAGCAAACCATCGATATCGAAGGGACACAAAATCTTTCATTATAGGAAGAGTGGTACGAGACCCCCACCCCGAAAACTTACAGGCGAACAAATTTTTAATAGGGTTCGACGTATTCCTTCGGCAGTGCAAGAGCCACACAAGGAGCCACATGGGTATTGTGATACCCATAAGTGGACAAAGAGGAGTATATTTTGGGAGTTGCCATATTGGAAAGACCTTCTCATTCGTCACAATTTAGATGTCATGCACATTGAGAAGAATCTCTTTGACAATATATTTAACACGGTGATGGATTTCAAAACCAAAACCAAAGACGGCCTTGCATCTAGAAAAGACATGACAATGTGGTGTGATAGAGCCGAACTGTCTGTTGATCTAGAACATACTGGTAATGTTCCAAAAACAGTCTATCAACTCACAGATGCACAAAAGCAATCAATCTTAGAGTGGCTTGCGTCTCTAAAGTTTCCAGATGGCTAATGTTCTAGCATGTCCAGGTGCATGGACATGGACAAACTAACCATGACGTCGAGCATGAAAACTCATGATGCTCATGTAATCATGAAAAGACTTCTGCCGATTGCACTGAAATAGATGCTTCCTGCAGACGTATGGGTCTGTATTACCGAAATCAGCCTATTGTTTCAGTCGATATATTCCACTGCTTTTTTATGTTAATCCCTCTGGAGGCTAGAAGACTTCGTGCCCATTCTGATGTGTAATACATCTTCCGTATGAGGCTTTGAATGGAGGACCCGTCTTCTATTGTTGGATGTACATATTTGAAAGGTTAGTCACAATTTTATTTATATTTGAAGATTTATTTAATAAGAACATTTGTTTGTTTACATTTTTGATTTTGCATGACAGATTCCTAGGAGAGTTGAAAAGGAAAATGACCAACAAGGCACACGTTGAGGCTTCAGGTTGTCAAGCATACATTCAACAAGAAATCTCAACGTTTTCATCTTTTTATTTTGAGCGTGAAGTCATCACTAAAAGAAAGAGGCCTGTCTGGAACGATGACATTGGTGAGGATGCATATGACAAAGTAGTTTCCATTTTCAATTACCCAGGTAGAGGTAAATGAGCTGTGACTCACCGTTACGTCGTGGGTGGAGAACTTCAAATTGCACACACTAACATTCTAATGAATTGTTCAGAAATCATACCGTTTTATAAGTAAGTTAAATTTATTATTATATTTGTAATAAAGCCATAACTTTCACAAAAAGTGTTATAATATCTTTACGTTTGAATTCACATTGAATTTAGAGCGTTTTTATCAGCATTTCCTGATGATGCAATTGATGCATTGGTGGACTCTGATTTTATTGCATGGTACAAATATCAGGTATATATAATATATATACTATTAGCTAATACTTTTTAATAATTACCCAATGTTATCATGTTTTGATTTACAGATCAACTCCCGTGGAATTGACGACCCTCTGTTAGTATCATTAACGTGGGGTCCTTCTTCCTATGCAAAAGTTTGGCATTCATATGTGATAAACAATTACACTTATCACACAGTCGATTATGGACAAGACAGACCAACAATGAACAGTGAGTTACGTGTCCCAACCATCGGTTCAGATAACTCGAAAACCAATTTTTATGGTTTCTTGCATGAGATTCTCGAACTTCAACCGCCTTCTGGTGGGCAAGAATTGAATTGCGTTTTGTTCTGCTGCACATGGGTCGATCCTACACGTGGTGTGAGAAAAAATTCAAAGTATAATATAATTGACGTCAACCACTCTCACGTGTATCGGAAAAATGAGCCTTTTATATTCGTTCAACAAGCAGCTCGGGTTTATTATGCAGAGTATCCTTCAACCAGGCGCACACCGAGTCCTTGGGTGTGTGCATGTACTGTCCGTTCGAGCAAAATTGGATAACAGACTCAACCCAAGGATGTTGATTTTGATGCTTTTCAGCAAGATTTTTTTCAACTTCCGTCTATTGCTGAGACGGTCAACCACTACATTGAGTTATGTGATCCAAATGGCCAACATATTGAAGTCATGACAATAACACACCTTCCACCTGCAAAACCTCAATCTGAACGCGAAATTGTTGAAATGCATGAACAAGTACAAGACTCTAAACAAGAGGAAGAAGAAGAATGGATAGATAATAATGAAGGTACAGAAAAAGAAATTTACTATGAAGAAAATACCGATTCAGATAGCGACTAATTGTATTGTTAATTTGTGTAACTAATGTAATCACTTTCAATTAAATTGTTTTAGTTTGATTTTTTTTACTTTCTTTTTTCATCATTTAAATAATTATTACATATTATATTCTAGTCAAGATAAATCGAATTACATTAAAAATTCAATATTTAATATACAATATGAAAATGTAAAATAGCGATTAATTAATTAATAAAATTGTGGACGAAATTATGTTAAAATAATTACAACTACAATTTTTTTTTAATTTCAGAAATTGAAAATTAATTTAATAATTCGAAATTTGAAAATTAATTCAATTCTAATAATTTGATTTTTTAACATTATTCGGTCAAAAATTATAATAATTCCAATTTTCATTACATTCAACAAGTAACATTATTGATAAACAAGCAAACACAAATTTATTAATCATTTAACAAGTAACATTATTGATAAACAAACAAACCCAACTTCATTCATCATCATCAAAGCTTTCATCAAGAGTTCTAGCCAACAACTCGTTAATTCTCTCTTCAGCTTCTCTGTTTATTGGTTCCATATATTCTGAATATTGTTGGTGACGAATAAGATGCCTACAAAAGTTTTTCCTCCTTGAAACGTTGTATGAGTCTGATTCAAAGTCTACAATGTTGCCAAAGCTTTCAAGAGGTGTATCCATCAACTCACAGATTTTTTGCACTGCTTCTTCATTTACGGGCCTCATCAACTGTATAACTAGTTTCAGTCGTTGTAGACTTCTATACATCAACTCCCAGTCAATTGCTTCTGGATTAGTCATTTTTTTGCATTTATAAATTGAGTCGGACAACACTTCTTTATAGATTATTTAGTCACGTATTGGACCATGACAAATTGGAATTGATTCCCCTGACGCACTGACAAACCAACAGACTGTCCAAGAAACTGACACGATGACTTTTCACGGACGGTAGTCGAAGTGTGTTGTATACGGACCCTTATTATCTTTTAATAAATACGACCCACTTGCTACTGAATACTTCATCCATATTTGCTCGTTTGCTTCTTAACCCATCAAACTCTCCACTCGAAACTCAAAGGATACATATTGGGCCTTTGGGTTGAAGGAATAAACTTCAGCATATCCTTTAAACATTTTTCAGCATTCAGACATTCCCAATCAACTCAAGCTTTTAGAGTTTTTGTCAATTTCGGTCCCCTGACTATTGTGTTGTTGGTGACACTTTTGGTATTTGGCTTTTAATTTTTCCATTTTTGATCCCTCACTATTGTACTAGAGACACTTTTATTTCCCGACTTCAAAGGTTTCCATATTTAGAACCTGTTCTCTTCGTCTGATCTGAATGTTTATCATCTACTTTTTTAGATCTAACCTGATCTGATCTGAATTTTTCTGATCTGATCTGATCTGAATTTCTCTGATCTGATCTGAATGCTTCTGATCTGATATGATCTGAATCCTTATGATCATGTATTACCTTTCTAAACCGGTATATAATAATATTAATACTACTAATAATAATTATAATAATAAAATAATACTAATAATAATATCGATAATAATAATAAAATAATAATAATAACTTTTATTATAATTATAATTATTTAATAATAATAAAATAATAATAATAATTATAATAATAATGATGATGATAATAATAATAGAATGTTTCCAATTTGCTATGAATGTTTCTGATCTGAATGTTTCTCATCTGATCTGATCTGATCTGAATGTTTCTGATCTGATCTGATCTGAATGTTTCTGATTTGATCTGATCTGATCTGAATCTTTCTGATTTGATCTGATCTCATCTGAATCTTTCTGATCTGATCTGATCTGATCTAAATAAAATAAGAATAAGCAATAAGTAATAAGAACAAGAGGAACATAACAGCTTCTTAGTCACTAGGTATTATCAAATTGACACTTTTAGTCCTTCCATGCACTATGATTTTGACACAATAAGCAGAGCTAGTACTAAAAATGTGTCCATTATATATCTGAAGGACCAAAAGTGCCACATTTTAAAAAGTAGGAGTAACTATGAAAATTTTCAAATGCGGATACAAAAAGTGTCTCTAGCACAATAGTCGAAGACTAAAAATGGAAAAAATCAGAGTCGAGTACTAAAAGTGTCAATGACAGACATAATAGTCAAAAGAGTAAAAGTGGCAAAAAATCCAAGGTTTTATTTTTAGTCAAGCTTAATTAAAATCCAATAAAGTGTGAAAATCAAAGTGTTTTAACAGATCAAATACATATTTAGTCTGAGATAGGAACAAACTTTGAGAAGTATGCACAATGTGAGCCCTAAGAAAAATGAAGTTCCATCAAATTAATCTTTCATAGACTCGTAGTAAAACATGGAGCCAATAGAGAAATGATTTTTCGTATAAATTTAGGGTCATTACAAGTATTGATGATGTCATCAACATAAAAAGGAAGGCATATGATGTGGGGATGATGACAAAAAACAAATAAGGAACTAGCAGACCTAGTGCACACAAAACCGATACTTAGAAGAAAACTACTCCGTACTAAATTAAACCTATGGAACCATGCTCGAGCTGTCCGTTTAAGATAATAAATAATTTTACGGAGACAACACATATGATTGGGAAGTTGAGGATGCACAACTTGAGGGGGTTGACGCATATAAAATTCTTCGGTAAGATTATCATAAACAAATAGATCAATCAGTTGAAACCACGAGAGCAAGAACAACACGATTGGACGTTCATAAAAGTCAATAACTGCCTACCGATTGAAATCTTGAGCAATGAGACATGTCTTACTATATAGTTCAATGGACTAGTCACAATGATATTTATTTTAATAAATTCTTATTAGGATCAGGCACAACTAAATCATATCCTATATATGGTTAACAATGAGAGCATTACGTAGCCCCAAATAGAATGTACTACTTCGGCCCCTAATATTGAGACAAGAGAGAGTAGTGTGATTATTAAGAAAAATGAAATTGTGTGGCTGATATTGAATTAGTAAAATGTGAACAAAGTAAAAATAAATTGAAACCATTTAAACATAATCAAATATGGTTTGAGATTAATTTAATGAGACATATGAAAAACTGAAAACAGGTAAAATCAAACAAAGATGAAGGACATAGGGAGTGTGAATATAATAAAAGATCCCAAGTACATTAGAGTTCTACGAGTATATAAGTTCTACACCATTAATAGTTCTATATTATTACATTATTAATTATTCCTAAATATTATACCCAAAATCTTTCTGTTGTATTGTTTAACTAAAGCTATATTTTACTAAAATACTCCATATTTTATTACATATACATATTTAAACACAATGATATTATCCCGAAAAAATGACATAAATATTATACCCTCCGGTTCCAAATAAAATTCACTTTTCTTTTTGGGTAGGTCCAAAATAAACTTCACACTTCTTCTCCATTCCTTATTTGGGAAATTATCTACATTAAAACAGTGCAAAATAGTGTCAAACAGTGTCACAACAGTGTATTTTATAGTAAAATCAAATTTATTTCCTTAATTTGTGTGGAATCAAAGTGTGAATTTTATTTGGGACCGGAGCAAGTACTTCTCCACTTTAGATGAACAAAAATATGACAATTTTTAAAATAGACACAAAAGTTATCAAATTAAAAAGCTAAACTAACAAACCCAGATTTGAAACGATCGGCTTCTCTCCAGCGCATTGGTGATCGACCTAACAACAAGCACCTCCGCCCGCCTCTGCCGGCCACAAGGGATGACCGCCTCCTCTTCTCATCTTCGTCGGCTGCCCCCGCCTCATCTCCGCCCGCTGCCTCTGCCCGATGCCAGGGTTTGCGCCGCTGCCTCCGCCGCTGTTTCAGTTCCACCGCCGCCCTATTTGGGGCTAGAGTGAGTCGAGTTTTTCATCTTCTCTACACACGACCTTCTTCTTCTTCACTGTGAATCGTCGTGTTCGTTGTTCCATCGATCTTATTCGTCCGCTCTATTTCAGATCTGGTGGTTGTTGCGTTGTTAGGGCTAGGGCGAGTCACAGAGAGGCTAGAGACTGGGCGAGGCATGGCGGTGGTTGGTTGGGATACTGCGACTCTGCGAGTCGCAGAGGGGCTAGGGGGCTAGAGCGGTGCTGGGGTTACGTTGTGGCGGGGACTGGGCGGCGTTGGGCAGGTAGTCTGGAGGGGGGGGGGAAGCTGTGGGGGGATGGGGCTGGGAGAGCAGGGGAAGGAGACTGGGGCAGGTGGTCCGTAGACGGTCGCGGTCGGTTATATACAAAAATGACATTAAAATCGATGGTGACATTAGAATCTAGTAATGACATATCAAAGTGACATAAATATAATGCTGCTGTGGCATAAAAATTGACAGTGACATTATATTTTTCAAAAAATGTATGTCCTTCTTAGTCACATTTTTGTTTTTTTTTGTAAAATTGATCACATTTTTTGAAATTGATTTTAACTTAGTAATATTGTAGGAAACAGTCTCATGACCCAAATACATTATACCCATTTAGTGATGAGTGATGAATGAGATCATATACACATGCATAGTTGAATTCCATTTGTATTACACACTCCCTCCCTTCTCTAATAGATTTATGAAAGAATTAATATGGGTAGGATAAAAGGTGTAGTGGGTTGTGTGTAAAGATAAAAGTACGAAAGAGAATTAAAAAGTAGGAACGAGAATGAGGGTATATAAAAAGCGGAAAAGGGGACAACTAATAGAAAACATCCCAAAATGGAAAGAGGACCAAGTATTAGAGAACGGAGGAGGGAGTATTAAATGCCGAGTATTATTTAGTTTGTCTAGTTTGGGCCCAACTTCAATTTTTCAAGGAATTGAGAACAAATAATTCCAACTTGATAAAAAAAACTTTGTACTTTTTTGTTATTTTGTGTTGGTCGGTGCTGAACTAACCTGTTTGAGCGATGCTAAGTTGTCTTATTAGTGACTAAATTACAATAACTGTTCATTATTTTATGAAATTGCAAAAGGTATGTGGTGGTATCATTAAAACGAAACTTTGATTGGTTATAAATTTCCATGTATCAATCATCCATACATTTTAAATGAGTTTCTCTTAATCCAATCCGTGTAATCAGTCAAAATTGTACTTAATTAACATTGACCAAAATACTACGGAGTACTATTTACTAGCTTTTGGAACCCGTCCGTATAGGTAGTTAAATGAGTAGAACAAGTCTAACCACTTACTAACTTACCATACAGTACTTTCCTGGTAACTAGGTAAGGGTCTACTACCCTTATTACTAGTAGTCAAACGTTAAAAAGTAAATACACGAATCCGCCGGCATGGCAATCTCTTGCAGTAATAAATTAAATTAGAAAAAATTCCACTTTTGATCCCATGACTATTACGCCACTTCTACATTAATTCCCTGAGTTTCAATTTAACCAAATGTAGTCCTTGACCTTTTCCACGTACCCACCCGTGGTCCTTCCGGCCACAATTCTGGCTAAATGTTACCGGAGACCATTTAATGAAGGGTAGTTGCGTCATTTAATAGCATTTATTGGTTTGAAACCTAACTCCAACGTTTAAAGGCCATAAACGCAGACTCTGTAACCATAGCTTCTCCCTCGCTATACCTCCCTCGCCATAGCTACTCCGTCGCATTGGTTTGACTGGTTTGAGTGGGTGCAGACAAGCATCTCACCATAGCTTCTCCGTCGCCATGTCTAGCTCAAAATCAGGTAGTTCAAACTGTACGGGCCAATATGAATATGGAGAGTGGATTCCGGTGAAGTATTGTGAATGTGGGCAACGAATGAAGATGTTGACAACTTGGAAACCAGAGAACTGTGGGAGAAGATTTTGGAAATGCATTGGAAGTCAGGTTATATATAGTTGTAATATATGAAATATTTTGAAATTCTATATTCGTTGGCTGAATTGGAAAATATATATGTTCTTGCAGAGATTTGAAGGTTGTGGTTTGATGGAGTGGTTTGACCCTCCGATGTGCAAAAGGTCTCAAAAAATAATCCGAGAAGAAGACAAAATCCATTCATTGGAATTGAAGGTTGAAACATTGGAGACAAACTGGTTCAAACCACAGAAGAAGACAAAACGTAGTAACTGCATTATAGTAGTGTGCTTTATGTGTGTTGTGGTTATTATTGTTTCAGTGTGGTTGAAAGGCAAATAATGTAATGTAGTGAGGCGTGTGATGTTGTACTTGTAAAAGCTTTTTAAAAGCTGTTGATTATCATGATTTCGTATGAAATGAAAGTTATATGATCATGATGTATGCTAACTGATAACATATGTATGCTAACTGATAAGTTTAAAATGTGCTTAACACATATGTATGCTAACTGACAACCTTGACAAACTTGACAAACTTGACAACCTACTAATTCATACATACATTACATCAGATCATCCAAATACATGATATCATTGAAAACCAAAATGCTAATCCATACATTACATGATCACACTGAGATCATGAATAGCCAAAGTATCTCAAAAACATAGAAGCTATACCAATACAGTAACATCATCAAAGTTGCATCAGTTCCAAAAAGCAAAAAATGTACTACATTACATCATCAAAGTAGCACCATGAATACACATTTTAGTCCACCCATTACTGTATATCAATGGGGTCATCATCATTTCCATAGAAGACTGATTTGAAAGTTGTTTTTGATCTAGTACCATATGTTGGGCCCCTTTTAATGCTCAGTTTGGGTCTCGGATTCACTTTAGGTCGTTTGACTACATTTGAACTGCTCTTCTTTTGACAAGGGGGTGGTCCATAGCATATCCTAACCCCTTCTTTTGTCCTCTGGTATGTCCCAACAGTCTCTTCTTCTGAAACTTCTTCACTCTCTCCTTTGGGGCTCTCTTCTTGTTTGCTCCCTTCTAAGGTTTCTTCTTTGCTATCTTCTGAGTCTTGACTGACCTGTGTTTCTTGAGTGAACATAGCATTGTCCTCTATACTCACAACAATAGGAACCTCAGTTGCAAAATTTGATCCTTCAGCAGACTGCATGGTAATGTCAATAAGGTTGAGGTCATCAAATAGGGTGGACTGATCACCAAGGGTGTCCTCTGTAGCTTGCTCATCTCTATCATGCACTCCAACACTGTGCTTGCTCTTTGGTTTCCTATTTCTTTTTCTAGGTTGCAGCTGATTACATGTAAACACATAGTAGTTAATGCACACATTATACACAATATACTATAATAATAAAATAAGCTTACAAAAATTAGATGCAGACTATACCAATTTGAGTGGAATCGTTCTTCAGTACATACCTTGCTCTTGGCCTTACTTATTGCTCTATAAGCTTGCCTGAGACTCAAATGGAATCGTTCTTCAGTACATACTTTCTGTCTAAACTCTTTGGTTTTCCAATTTGAGTGACCCTCAATCTCCTTGAACCACCTATTTGCTACCTTGCTAGAGTTCACCATTTTGTTGTGATAGACCCAAGAGCAACCTTCATGTGTGTCATGGTACTTTAAAATCCTCCAAGAATGAGAGTTCATTACCTTTCTTAGATTCATCTTCCATGGGCAGCCTATATGCTTGCACTCCACAACAACCCGTTCCTTATCATTTTTGACAAACCTCACCTCTTTACCATTCTTAAATGCATGATTTTCCACAGCTTCTTTGAATTCCTGTTTGGTGCCAAATGTCAAACCCAATTTAAAGGTAGGCTCTTTCATATCAGTCTTGGCACAGAATGTAGTCCACTTCTCAGAGTCACTGTCAGATTCATGTATGGAAGCATCATCAGACAAGTTAGGATCCGGGTCCACCATTGAAGCTTCAGTAACATTTTCTTCTCCTTCACTACTGCTGTTTAACCCTCCATGAGTAGACAACACAACATCCTCCTTAGAAATGAAGTCTTCCAAATCAGAGTCATCCTCATCCCCAGAAAAGTGTTCTAAGTCCTTCTCACTGAAGTCACTATCCTCAGGGTCATCATCATCTTCAGTGTCACCACTGGGTTCTAATTCTATCCAAAACTCCACCACCTTACCAACATTTCCACCATTCACAATCCCCCAAACCTCTGCCTCATTATTTAGTTGCTTTAGGGACTCATTCTCATGTGAATAGGAATACACAATCATTACCTTTTTGGTGCAACCAAGTTCTTGTAATTTCTCATTCAACTCAATCAAACCGAACTCATCAACCTCTACATCATGAAAATTATGGATTGACCCTCCCAAGTATGCAGGTTTTTCCATGTGATTTACTTTTCCTCCATAAAACAACCTCAAAGTAAAAGTGTTTCCACAGTTGGCTGCAGCTGTTTTATAAATGAGGTCAATAGTGTGTTTAAATGGTCAACACAACACCATAAATGAATTTCATAATTATTAGTTCAAAAAAAAGCATGTATGGGTCTAAGCTTGCGTGAAGATACATGTGAACTGGTCCCATGTGTTAAATGGTAAAAGACAACCGGGTAGGGGAATCTAAGCCAAAAAACACATGCCTACCCTACCTTGTTTTGGAATAAAGGGAAAAAGGGAAAGGGGAACCTCAACATCAAACCCATAGCATGTGCAAACACTGCAACCACCGTATATATAAACCTCAGTTCAGCCTTATACGAGTATTATTTATTTTCTTCCACTCTTGTTAAAAAGTTGACCCACTTACCTTTATCAGCAGCATTTGTTCGAGAACGCCGTTCAGAGCTTGTTCCTTCTCCTTGAAGCCGGCGGTCGAGACGGGTCCTCATTGTTCGAACGGTTTTGGAGATTTGTCGAGCTGACGGAAGCTTTCTTCAGAGGGAGAAGAGAGTTCGATTTTTGAGGTAGAGGGAGACGACGGTATTAGCTCACAATTAAGTTAACTTAATTGAGTAGTTTATTAGGTAGCCGTTTTTGTAATCTAAATTTACTAAAATGCCCCCAACTACCCTTCATTAAATGGTCTCCGGTAACATTTAGCCGGAATTGTGGCCGGAAGGACCACGGGTGGTTACGAGGAAAAGGTCAAGGACTACATTTGGTTAAATTGAAACTCAGGGGATTAATGTGGAAGTGGCGTAATAGTCATGGGACCAAAAGTGAAATTTTTTCAATTAAATTATCCTAACTGTGTTGTTTTTAACTTTATTTGTTTAAAAATATTGAAACTCTAGTGGGTACTTATAAAAGTGATCGAGTGTAATTTAACTTTATCAAGTTAAACTTGATGTACTAATAATAAGAAGAATGACATAGTAGTTTATATTATTAATATAAACATGATCAACAAAATTGCGATATATGTAGCGTCTATATTTGCAATTTTTAGTTATTATTACCGATATATTCAATTTTACGCTATAATGATCATGGTATGGTGTTACACTCGTAATAACTTCCATTGTATTAATGTAGATGAATTCAATTTCAGTTGTATTTTAGAAAAAAAACATTAAATAATAATGTTGGGACACGAAGATTGGGACACATTGAGTTGCACAGTTGTTCTGAAAAATGAAATTGTGTGACCGTTATTGAATTATTAATGTGTGCATAACGTAATGATGGATCGTGCCCTGTTCGATCCAGCCTAGGGTTATCATTTACTCTTTTTGGACGTCCTATAGGTTCACATTTCTATTTTAGGAAAAATTAACACTCTTACATAACAACTTACTACTTTGATTATCAAATATCAAAACAATACTTCTATAACATTGTTCAGTTATTATCTAAATAATCGTATCATTTTATAATGAGAATCTTAATTGACGACGAAAGCAGTAGCATTCAGATATTATTAAATATGATACGGAGTATGTGAAATGAATCTCTTGGCCGATAGGCGTAGCTCAACTCTTAGATACTCCGTATGAAGTATCACAAGGGTTAAGTCTCGCGTTTGAATCTAGACAATTGCGATTAGAAGTTACTAAATAAAAATGAATATGATATCTACAAGTACATGAGTCAGATCCTTTCTAACTATCTGTCGTCTTATGATTAAAGTCCAATTTACATCCTTCCAGTTAATTATCTGACCCGTACTCGGGATGGCGTGTCATTTTTTGTGTGGAATCAATCTCTTTTAATATAAGTACCAGTCTTTGTTTTGTCTTTCGTGGAACCTGCTGGGAATTATCTCACCCTACACTTTCCCTTTATTTGTGTTATGGCTTTTTTATTCGACTACCAAACACTTCCTCCGTCCACCATAGCCGTCTATAACATACCATAGCACATACAGCTCTCTCTTATTTTTATTTTTATTATATTATATATTCTCTCTAAAACCTCTGTTTTACCGCTGCTTATGAATGATGGCTAATTACAGGCTACCCGCGACGAATATGTGGGCCGCCGCGACCCATAACTCCGGCGAAAACGCTTCCATGATGGACGCATTCGTATCATCCGATCAGCCTCCGTTCTGGGCACCACCCGGTAGGTATCATCCGGGAGCGGTGGGTCCCCCTCAGCAGTCGTCATCCGCCGCATCTTCGGTAGTCCTCAATCAGGAGACCCTCCAGCAGCGCCTGCAAATCGTGATCGACGGCGCCCGGGAGGCTTGGACCTACGCGATTTTCTGGCAGGCATCGGTGGCGGATTTGGAAGCGACGTCGCTGTTAGGGTGGGGCGACGGTTACTACAAGGGGGAAGAGGACAGAGCCAGGCGGAGAAGAACCGCGACGTCTCCTTCTGAACAGGCTCACCGGAAGAGAGTTCTCCGCGATCTGAATTCTCTCATTTCCGGCCCTGGCTCCGCCGACGATTCCGTGGATGAGGAAGTGACCGATACGGAGTGGTTTTTCCTCGTTTCCATGACCCACTCGTTTCATTCCGGGTCGGGTCTTCCGGGTCACGCGTTTTACAGCTCGAGCCCGATTTGGATCGCCGGCCAGGATAATCTCGCGTCGTCTCCCTGCGAGCGAGCCCGTCAAGCTCAGGGTTTCGGGCTCCAAACCATGGTCTGTATTCCATCTCCCAATGGAGTCGTTGAACTCGGATCTACTGAACTGATTCACCAGAACTTTGATTTGACGAACAAGGTTAGATTCCTGTTCAATTTCAATCACAATCCTGATATGGGCTCGATCTCGTGGTCCGGGCCTCCGCCGCAGCCGGCGCCGCAGCCGGCTCCCTGGCTCAGCGACCCACCTACCCCCTCACGTGTTGAGGTGAGGGAATCTACTACGAACACCTCAGTCCAGGATACTTCATCCCCCTCTACTGATCTGAAACAATTCGCGTTTCGAAGTCGGAATTCCAGCGCCGCCGCCGTCGTTAGTACTCATCATAATTTCAGTGACCCGCACAATTATAGTCATAATACTATTATTAATAGTAATAATGATAATAATTGTTCTGTACAAACACAAACCCAAACACGGGATTTCAATTTCTCCGAATTTGGGAACTCCTCGTCACAACACTCTTGCAAACCGGAGACAGGAGAAACAACAAACTTCGGAGAAAGCACACCTCAAAGAAGGGGCGGTGGTAACCAGAATCTAATCTCCGGTCAGTTTCCTGCAGCTGAAGAGGGCAAAAACAAAAGGAGACCGGCCACGTCGAGGGCGAGCAATGATGATGGAATGCTTTCATTTGTTTCGGACCGAAGTTCGGATCTTGAGGCGTCAGTTGTGAAGGAAGCGGATAGCAGTAGAGGAGCCGAGGAAGAGGTGGAGGCGGAGAAGCGGCCCCGGAAGAGAGGGAGGAAGCCAGCAAATGGGCGGGAGGAACCGCTGAATCACGTAGAAGCCGAGAGGCAGAGGAGAGAAAAGCTGAACCAGAGATTCTACTCTCTGAGAGCGGTGGTTCCGAATGTCTCGAAAATGGACAAAGCTTCCCTCCTCGGAGACGCCATCACGTACATAAACGAGCTCAAGTCGAAGCTGGAGAGCTCGGAGTTGTACATAGATGACCTGAAGATGAAACTGGAATCCTCAAACAGGGAATTATTGGCTGCTGGTAGCAACACTAGCAGCAACAAAGCTGAACGGCCGAAGAAATCAACAAACCAGACGATTCCGACCGATATGGAGGTGGAAGTGAAGATCATGGGTTGGGATGCGATGATCAGGATACAATGCAATAAGAACAACCACCCAGCGGCCCGACTGATGGTGGCGCTCAAGGAGCTCGACCTTGATGTTACCCATGCAAGCGTGTCTGTGGTGAACGATTTGATGATCCAACAAGCGGCTGTCAAGATCGGAGCGGCAGCCCAATTTCACACTCAGGATCAGCTCCGAAAAGCATTGACATCCAAGATTGCAGAAAGTTGTGTGTGAAAGGAGAGAAATGTTAGTGTAATAAAACAAATACATGCATTTTTTTTGAACCAGAATCAGTTAATTTTGCTGCTAAGTTCTTAGGGTTTTTAAAAATAAGTTTTTAGTGATTGTTTTTACGTATTAATGTACATATAATTGTGAATCTCGAGTATAAACATGCCAGGCTTCTAATTAGAGAGCAATCTGCGTGGCCTAGCTGATACTTTTGTGTGAGATTTGCAATTTTGCAAGCGTTTTTTTGTGTACTTTTTTCTTGAAATAAACTTTAAGGGCATCAAATTGGTTGCAGCACATGATTTCCACTGTACAATCTTCTAAGATATACTATGCAGCTGCACCATGAATTCTAGCATGGTTTTATTCCACAAAGCTTTACTCTTGCACCGTGACTTACTTATTTGACCAAACTTCAATAACATGTACTTTCCATCCAAAAGATACACATGTATGAACAAGACCAGAGATCAGATTTAAATAGTCCATATTATTTTTATGGAGATTAGACAAGCACATGTGCGTAATACCAAACTTTACGAGACATCCCAGTTCATTGTACGGGAGATTACCGTGTCTAGTGGAGGTCTCGGGTTCGAAACCGGCTAGGCACATTTAGGGAAGTCTTGCTCCCAATGAATTTCCTACCTTCAATGAGTGGCACAACGGCTAAGAATGGAGGGGATAGAAATACAGGCCTATCGAGTTCGCGTGGTGGGAGGACCTTGTTGGGATCAGTTGACAGGTTGTCCTGAAATTGAGGCCTACCGAGTTCGCGTGGTGGGAGGACCTTGCTGGATTCAGTTGACAGGTTGTCCTGCTGGATTCGTTCTGTGGAACCAGTACTCATGAAGGCTGACTGTGATCAGATCCGAATTTAACTGTCTAGGGGCTTTTGAGGGTAGTTAATAGACTTCAGGATTATGAGAGCGTAAGTAGAGATGGCAATTTCAATCGATCCGTTGGATACCCGCACCGAACCGATTTGGTCAAACTGGGGAAAACCGATTTAACTGGGGAAAGGGTACGGGGCGGGGAATACCCAATTTTTTAAAATGGATAATGGTGCGATTATGGTTCTATATTAGTCTGCCTCGTTATCTACCCCGAAACAGCCTCATTCACTAATGGTGCGGGTATCCGCACCATTACCCGATCCATAGCATTATTAATGAATTATAACTTTTTATACATAAGAACAATAAGTATATGTGCTAAATTGTGTACACTAAATCCTATATCTCATATAAGTATATAAAGAATAATACACCGGAGGCCCACTTCAAAAACCATAACATCACTAACTCAGTGTATTACGAATTTATGGCTCATGGCTCTACTTCTAAATGGAATGATGCTAGGCCTGCAGTTCGGCTCTATCGCCGGTAGCTTCTAATCTTTCTCATTATCAAGGATTCGACTCAGTTCCCCCTTTCTTCTTTTTACTACTTTTTTATTATGTTACAAGAGATATTGGATGCTTGTCATACTAATGAATTTAGGACTAAAACTGCTTGATTGTTTGAACATTTACTTTTATATGTTTTATGGCGCTTTTAATATATAATTTACTACGAAGGACGTTTACATTAACAAGTAGGGTTTGAAATTGGTTATTTGGTATCATTTGGGCAAACAGATACCCGTGGATAAATCGATTCCCCATTGGGGCGGGTGCTGTTCAAATAAAAATTATCCGAACGGATAATGAGCCGATTTTGGGCAAACATTTATTCAACTGGCGATTTCGATTTTATGTGTACACATCCCCGATCCGCCCCGTTACCATCCATAAGCGCAAGCACCGACATCCATCAAAAAAGAAAAAAACCACATATAAAATTTTAATAGCCTTCCTATGTAGTTGACTAATTTATGATGGAATTAGTTACTCCTAAACCTTTAATTTAGTGTTTGAGGATTTCCAAGCGACGGGTTCTAATTTTTTAATATCTTACTTTTTGCAAACTTTAAATTAAGTTAAAAAGCATGTAAAAGTGCATTTATTTTAAAATTGTGAAACAAAAGTAGTCCCCAACCCCCCTTTTCCTAACAAGAAGCCAATAATATACTCTGTATCATTAATAATATATTTTGAAAAGTCAGTTGTGCGGCACCAATAATCCAAAGGGTTTTCCACAAAAGAGTTATGAAGTCAATGCTGCGAATCATTACTCGCAATTAATATACTCCCTACATCCCAAAATTAACTTCCCACTTTCTTTTTCAGGCAGTAAAATTAATTTCTCACTTCTTTCCGTTTTCTTATTTGACAAATTATTTACATCAAAACAGTGAAAAACAATTCAAAATCATGTTAAACAGTATCGAAATAGTGTCAAAACAATAAAATTTATCTCAGAAAATTTATTTCCTTAATATGTGTGAAAATGAGGTGAGAAGTAATTATGGACGAAGGAAGTATTATGTACGTATCTGATAGGACATTTTTTATGACTCCAATAGGATACGTAAAAGTCGATATCCGGTTATCATTTTCGTCAATCGTACGGTCAAAATGTTAATTAATTTAGAAAATATCAAACGATTAGCGATTGTTTAGAAAGCATTTCAAATTAAAGTACTTAACACTTATTGGATTCTGTGTTTCATAGCTTTCTGTACAACATGAGTTTTTCATTAATTCAGCATGATGGGATTGCGTGAATCACAATTTTTATCAATAATTTTTATTCCTTACGTATGATTTTCGTATACGTTATTTCTAGAAATAGCGCAACTCGCGTTTTCAATAGTAATTTTAAAAAGTAATAATATTAACTATCATTACTAGCTACTACGGATTATATAGTACGGAGTATTATTATTAATTTATTACTGTTAAGCGTTTAAGCGAGGTCATCACTATGGCGAGATTCGTCGTTAGGATGTTCTAATTGGATTGTAAATTGCAATTCTGATTTGATTTGATCTAAACTTGTAATTTTTTTATTACAAATTTGATATGATCTAATCTATTATTATTTGATCTAATCATTTTGAGCCTAGTCTCATTTGATGTAGGATTGAAATTGATTCAATCAAAAACATCCAACATCATCATCTTGATTCTAGTTGTGCTAACTTTTACTTCAACTAGTACAGCACTCGTGCGATGCACGGCGGGTGAGTTTGTTGGATGAGTATAATTACCGTTAGACTATAAATCTAATTGAAAATAAAGTTAAATATCATAAATTGTGAATATTAAGAAATGAAATTGTAATACGTAAGTATATTGTAATATGTAATGTGATTTTAATACAATATGAAATTTTAGAGATTATTTCCATCATTTACAATGGAACCAAAAATTCATTATTTTTTGGCTTGAGATTATGATGGAATAAAGCAAAATGGCTCACTAAACTGTTTGCGCTTCTTTGTTATGAAGCAGCAGTCAGTCCATGCAATTTTGGACGGGATTTTCACTATGGGTCATCCGGAAACAGTCTCTCTGTGCTTTAGTACAGGGGTAAGGCTGCGTACATCCGACCCCCCTTACCCCACCGTAGGTGGGAGCCTTTGCAGCACTGGGGTAAATGAAAACGATGAAATGAAATTTTAGAGATTATGGAATACTTCCTTATAGACAACATTCACGGTTTCATCTATCTGGTAGTCACCTACGTCAACATCATCGATATATAAATCTTGCGTGAAATAACTACACAAAGAAACATTAGTGTTGTGCAAGATATTATCTGTGTGATTGGATGAAACTGACGTAGATCGTAGATCATACGATCTCTTTTGAATTAGATTCAGCCTCGTAAGTGGTGTTTGTTTGGAGAGTACACTTGATACTGATGGTTGAGCGCTCGTCACCAAGACTACATTATTATTACACAACATTGGTTAATAAAATAATCAAAAGTATAATTAGTTTAAAAATAGGTTTCAATAGTAAGCCAAAAACATCTTGATAAATTTACCATTGGTTACATCCACGAGAGGGGAACTAACAGAAGTTATAGGCTTTATAGATGATGTAATATTGTGATGAAGAGATTCTTGAAATCGAGCGTTTTGCAAAATTCTTTGATTTACGTCACGCTCGTTGTCACTATCTTCTGCGTAAAAAATATGGTTGACCACATTAGTAGAAAGGTAATACTATCCATTTTATTGAAAACAACACGTATTAATTTTTAACTATTAAAAACTTTAAATCACATAAAAATATTTTTGAAATTTCTCATCAACGCTAAAAATATTACGTAAACTTCACAATTTACACATCCACACATTTGTGTGTCTATATATTTGAGAGGGCAATTTGATGAACCTATATTAATTTTTTAAATAAAAGTGGTTAGTATATTTTAATTATATTATTAAAATATAATAATATAATTAAAATGTTTGAGACTATTACAAATGATCACTCTAGACACAATAGTGTGAGCTTTGTACTTAAACAAATCCAATCATAAAAATAAAAATAAATTCAACATCTACTATTTAGCATTTATAATACGCAATATTTGTCAAAGGTTATTTGTCTCACGTATTACAATGCCGTTTTTGAACATGTTTAACATGTCCTATATAACAGGGCTCACCATGGAGCCAAAATTTTTAATCGTAGTATTATAATATACTACTGAGAAGCTTTTCTGGTGCATTTGGATGTACATGAAGTTTTGTATTTGAGCCCCATGGTGGGCCCTGTTATATATACTATTGAGAACTTTTCTGATGCATTTGGATGTACATGAAGTTTTGTATGGTCAAAACCATTTAGGCTACTTTAAGATCAATTTTTTTGATAAATTTAGTGAACATGTTCTTCATAAAGTGTATATTATATCTACAAATTTTCATCTTAAAATTCAAATGGGAAGTCAGCTAAATAACTTATTGACAAATATTGCGCCAAAATATGTATAAATAACGCATTGTTTTTCAATAATTTATTGAGTTGAATTCTCAATCAATTTTTAAGCTAAAATGTTACGGACATAATCTACAATTAATGAAAAACATTCTAACATTTTTTTATCAAACAATTCCACCTCAAAGAATCTCAAATGATCTTGGGCGGATGGCACTTCCCGTACATCCGGATGTATGAGAACTTTTCTTATGATATAGTTATATAAAAAAATATAATTTCATATTTTTCACTTGATCACTGGTTTCAGAATTTAAGGTTTTATTATTGTTAATTTCATATTCTTCACTTGATCACTTGTTTCATATGTGGGACCTCAATTTTGCATCTGAAATGATCGAGGCTTCCAAATTCATTAGAAGGACCTGCACGTATATACATTTATTGTGTCTGTACATTTCTAAGTCGGGTCTGAAATCGAGTGTTTTGTAATTATTTGTTGAAATTTTGAATTTTTTTACATTTTTTTACCTTATAT